TGTAAAAATGTAAAAAAAAAAAAAAAAAAAAGTAATTACCGGCACTTTTGATCAAATTAATGCATTCTTGCATTAGTATGGAAAAAATCATACTAACCTCAAACATTTGAACACTAGTGTATCTGTATGTTAATGACTCAATGACTATGTTGATGACTAACTTGAAACTGAAACAAGAACAGGATAGATGCATCAGATTAGATAGATTCCAAGCTTACCTTTCTTTACACTTAGCTGTTAAACCACAAATTGGACTCAAAATATCCCCTAAGTGCTTTTTATCTTATTGAAATTAACTAACATTTGCTCTCATTTGCTGTTTAAGGCAACCGTTGTGTGCGATATGCTGCTCCTATATTTAGTTTCAAAGCGAGATTTCTACAAAAACATGAAATTCAAGCATACAGAAATCGGGGAAGAGGTGAGTGTTGTTTTTAAATGAATAAAAGGTATTAAATATTTAATTTGAGTCAAACTTGCCTTTGTGATTGATTGCTGGTGTGTCCCCGAGAGCTCCATGGATAGCCAATGCTAGTTCACTACCGAAACACAAGATGGCAGCAGAGATACATAGTTTGGTGCCATGCAAAAACTGTTACTTGGGCAGATGCAGATGCAATGCAGTTTCCAAATATTTACATCAAGCTACATTCCCGTAGTGTCATTATGGAAACATCCAGGATTTAACTGTAATTAAAATGTCCAAAGCACATCTGAGGGAGTGTATGCGAGTGGAAAAGTATAACCACATCTGCGTCAGTAAGTATCTTACTTTTGATCTGTATGCACGTAGGCAGTATGCAAGACTACTGTATTCAAGTCCATGCAACACCACGGCTTCCTGTAGACATCTCTGCAGTGATAGTTACCCTAGCAACGCAGCACATTGACCATACTTGTTTCTTATATAAAGAAAGGAAAGTGAGGCCACATCTTAACCTCCAGGACTCCCACTCTAGCAGCCTTCTGAGAAAGAAACACATTGGGGTTGATAGGAGCATGGGAAATGATCTCAGATATGTATTTGCCCTTCCACAGAAGCCAACCTTGCCCCAGTCAAAGACCGAAAGAGATCTACCGAAGGTAACATACCATTAAAATCATTTCAGCCGCAGATCCCTGTAGAATTATGGCGTATCTCCATAAACAACTTTTCAATTTTAGTTGTGGTCACAGTAATTCTGATCTTTGCTGTGTACAGGAGTGAAGTCTGGATGGCTGCCATGACGACTGACTACTGCACTGAAGAGAGAGAGAGAGAGAGAGAGAGAGAGAGAGAGAGAGAGAGAGAGAGAGAGAGAGAGAGAGAGAAAACACCTCAACACTGGAGCTTCAACAAGACGGCTGGGAGACTTGACACAGAACTGTCAGACATCACTTTTCCTTTCTAAATAACATTTCCTTCCCAAACTACTGAGGAAAGACATTAAATCAGTGTTATGATTTAAGACATAACTAATACCCACTGAATGTGTTCATATTGAGAGGCTTAGGACTGTAAAGGTACACAATTGTATGAGGGTTTTGAGGTCTTTACAAGGTTCCCAAAGTTTTTGCCAATTACCATGTAATGTCTGGATATGTCACCCATATTCAACTCTGGATAATGTATCACCTTAAAATTGCTATTTTTATTTACTGATAGGTGTTTTGTAAAGGTTTTGTTGTTGTTGTTTTTGTTTTTGTAGCAAGCCAACTGTGAGCCTACAATTTTTGTGTGAAATAAATTTTAGACGGTTAGTCAACCATATGAGGTTGAAACTAACCAGCTCTGAAAGACAGAATGGCGAGTGATTTTGGCCTTTTGTTTTAGCTCATTCACAAAACACTGAGCCAAGAAACATAGGATGCTCAAAGGATCTCAAAGGTCTGTTATTTTATTATTAGTAAACAGCCATCTGGACTACTTGATTTTAATGCAGCATTCAATGGTCAAATATATCAGAAATAATGACACATTCCGACCACTTATCCAGGAAACTCTTAGCTGTGCTTGTGTTCTGTCTCTAAAATTATTACTCAAATCAATATTCCATGCCCATATATTTATTTGTATGAAAAGTAGTCATGTAGTCATTGTTGTAATAAAAAAAACATTAAAAAAAAACATTAATCAGGTAGAGTTGAGGGTTTCTGGACACTCGTACTGTCTTTATAACAAATAACAAAATAGTTTTCCACATAACAAAATAGTTTGGTCACTTTAGTTTGGGGACCAATTCTCACTATTAACTATGACTTTTGCCTCAATAAACTCCTAATTTACTGCTTAATAATAGTTAGTAAGGTAGTTAAGTTTAGGTATAGAGGGGATTAAGGGATCTAAAATATGGTCATGCAGAATAAGGCATTTATATGTGCTTTATAAGTACTAATAAGCAACCAATATCCTAGTAACATGCACGCTAATAAGCAACCAGTTAATAGTGAGAATTGGTCTCACTATTGACTGGTTACCAATAATTGAAACTCACATGAAAATAAAACCCTTTTAGGGTGATACAAAACCCCTCTGCTTTGCACTGGCATCCTGATAACTCTGTCTGGGTTTATTTTGCAACAATTGACTTTGCTTTTATTTGTTGGCATTTACCTAAATTTGAGTTTACTTTTTTTATTAAATGATTTACAATCTTGAACAATTTTAAAATCAGACAGCACCATGAAGGATTCCTTGGTTTTATGGTGTACAAAATACTATTTTAAAGAATAGCTACTGTTATAAGTATTATTAGTAGGTAAATTTCATTGATTTTTATCACGTGCAATTGAAAATAATAATAGAATCCTATGTGACAAAACATAAAGAAGGAACCTGAGTCACCTGTGATGTCTTTATTGTCTTTGATTATGTCTGTGTACAAAAAGCATGCAAAAAATAGCATCTTTATATGCTTTGGTACATATTTACATAGTAAGAGTTGCATTCAGTGCTTTCTCGGGACATGCTCTTTTTTGTCTATTTTCTTACGAGTTTTTTAAACAGTTACATTCAGATAAATGCCGCAGAATACAACCGTCTATAAATAACCAGCAATATCAGGCACTCTGACACAAATAACTGGGCAGTACATGAATCAATTCTGATATACTTTTAAATCAAGAAAGGGAAATTAAAAAAGCATAAAGCTTTGATAGCAAGAACATTTTGCAGCTACAAAGTGCCTCAAAATGGGCAATTTTCTCTCCCCTCCTTCAGAGACTCAAATAAGGGAAACTTCTGTGAATGTGGGTAGACAAATGATCAAACCTCATCTATTGCACATGAGCCGAACCCAGAAAAGAAAATAAAGCCTTCACACTTGAGTTGATTGCTCAGACTGAGGTATGGCATATTGGCTGCTGCATATGTTTAGCTTATACAAAAGTCCTGCAGGAAACAATTTAAAGGGGGTTTAGACATTATTTGTTTTGTCTCACATAGATATCAAAAGGAATAGCAAACCTAGGGAGAAGTTTGTAAAAGGTTATAGCAAGTTAAGGGACATGCCGTTCGTCAAGACACTAACATGTGCATAGCATACATCAAGAAATAACTGACAAGACTACTGTACATTTGAGACAGAATGGACAAATGCGATTACACACCCACATATATAAGGGAAGAATGGGGATCATTTAAAGCCATTTGATGAATTTATAAATACACCTTAGAGCTTCTGAACACAGAATATGCTACTCCATTCTCTCTGTATTCTCAGAACAGCAGTGTCCAGAACCTGAGTACCACATACAGAATCTCAATACACAACAGAAACGAGACTCCATTTAATGCCTGAATCAAATACTCCATACAGACAGACCGAGAAAAAAAAACACACTAGTTGTTTGGCACTGAACATGGTTTTCCTGTGTAATTCAGTTTAAAGAGAAAATGGTATGGGCATAATGCTATCTACAAAGAGTGTGTGCGTAAAAGAGGGTCATCGAGAGAAAGAGAAATGGGGGAAGACAGTGAAGAAGGGAAGATTGTGTAGGAGTCAGAAAAACGGACCACCATCTGCTCAGGATATTAGTGAGAATATAATGAAAGTGGTCCACTGCGGTTTATCAATTCGTCTTCATATAAGCAATAATGAGTCCTCTAAATGAGTGACATCGGTTAAAGGTTTCCTCTGAGCATTCGCTGCTTACATAAACAGTTTACTGGAAATAATTGACAGCTGACCTGATTGAGTCCAGTTTTATTCTTGTAAAATTAATTAAAGGGGCAGTTCACCCTGAAATAGTCAAAGCTGCACTTTTCCGTATGAAAGAGGAATGGTGATCCATCCAATTTCATTACATATGAAATAAGCAGCTTGGACATTCTACTAAATATCTCCTTCCGTGTTTCACACGGAAAAAGAAAGTAATAGTTTGGAATGATATGAGGGTGAAGGCCTGTTCTCACCAAGATTAATATTTGGTATGATAAAGATTCATTTGAATGAATGGCTATTAAAGGCACAATATGTAATTTTCGCCGCTAGAGGGCCCTTTAATGCACCTCTTTAGACTGACACAAACATTTGTATGCTGACAATGCAACTTTTTTTTTTTAGAGAGATGTAATCTCTCTTCCATTGCACTGCAAAGAAAACTGGCCAAACAATAAGATTTGCACTTTTGATCATGTCAAGAGCTGCCGCTGTTACATAAACAATGATTTGGTTGTGCTCACGAACAAACTATTTTGCTAAGCAAATGTGAATTATAGACAAAGAATCCAGTGTCGTTTGGTAATCACCATAATAAATACAAAAATCGCAATGGCTGCTCGAAAACATGTAAATACTGTTTGACTGCCTTTCTTCTATGTGACAATTGGTTGTTAGTAATGAAAAACTGCACAGCACTTATAATACCAAAATAACTGGGATATTTCTGCTTTTTAACAGCACCACCTATTTAATAGAGTAAATTCTGTCATTTTCATTCAACCTGTCTGCCTTTTTTTAAACATGGGTCTGAACAGACAAATTGCATACAAAATTCAGACCGAATTTTTGTGCCAAACATTTGTGTTGGTGTGAACTGACCTTGAGAAAATGACAACAGTATTTAATTTTTGGGTCAACTGTCCTTTTAAAACTGAAACACGCTCAGTGAGAGTTTCACAACAATAAAAATCAAATTATTATGAGTGCTCTGTGCTGGTAATCAAATATCTCAATCGCCACTGTGCATTTACAATGATCGTCCACACAGAAACTCTTTGTACTTTCAATACGTGATTCAAAAACTGGGCATGATGGGTTCGCCTGACAAGACAATGCGATGTAAACAAGGGTGTATTGTTTTGGACGGAGTTAATACAGGCCGAGAGGGAATGTGATGACATTGAATGGCAGTTCACTTTCGTTCCACAGCTAAACACCATATTCAGATCCTTCCCTCAATTGGCTTGTCTGTTTTGAGTGAAAGTGACTCCCTCTCTTTCTGCATCAGCGCACACTCGCTTGCCTCGGTGGCATGTTTGCATGTGTGTTCGAGGGCCCGTTAGCACTGCTGACTGACAAATAGGCCTTTTGGAATGTGAAGACTCGGTAAACAATGACACATTTTGTTCCAGCAGAGAGACAAAGCGCTGCGACACAAGAGCCCTGAATCTGCTGCAATCCGAATGCAGGATTTGCGACATTCACAAACATGGAAAATAAGCCCTATTCTAGATAACGGTTATACCGAGCGCTCAAACACGCTGTATGTTTAATGAGAAAGCCCTGTTTTCAAGAATTGACTGAATGTGCAGACAAGAGCCTCTTTTAGTGTCTAGTAGTTACATAAGCCCCTTTGATTCACAGTACAACACTGTGTGTGTGTGTTTATATATTGTATCTGAATGAACTGAAAAAATCTGATGGTATGCAGAAAATTAAAAACAACAGAGATATGGAACCACCATAATATGAAAGAGGCCATATTTCTGCATGCTATGATGGATAGGGTTAAGAATTGCACATTACCATATGCAAAAAGGCAAGATGCCATTGCTATTTTCTACACATGTACAGATGTTATGATGGCAGCACACTGCATCAACGGCATCACTGTTTTTAAGCTTCATGAGGTGCCACACCAAGTTAATAGCATCTTTTGTCTGTGCTGTTTTAAAGCTTATGGTGTAGTCTGTCTTTCACAAAACCTGGCCTAATATAGATTCCATCCAAAATCTATTTGTTTAGCCAGGATGAGAGGACAAAGGTGGAAAGATCCAAATGGGGTGAAGGAGAAAGAATAGTTTTCCGCCACATTATCAAGGCCAGGTTTCATGAGAACCATAGGCAGGTAAAGTGATTCTTGTGAAAAGCCTGAAGGATGACTAGCAATATCAGAATCCAGTTCAATGTAAAGGTAAGCCTCAAGTCTGTGGAAACAGTGTAGTGGAGTGGTTTGGGTCATGATCATCTGCTCAAAAAGCTGGAAGGACAATGAGGAACGCTTCAGGATCTATGAAGACACTCAAGAGGTGGGTGGTTCGTCCTCATGCAAGTCCTCGAGCTCAACTTCTCTACCAGCCTCTCCACTACTCCCCTTTCTGAGAGAGAAAGAAAAACAGAGAGAGAATTTGTGAATCATTGCCTTTCTAAACAATTCCTGCTTTAATCCAGTAGATGATCTTGAAGAAGCAAACTGTTAATCTCTAATCTATAACAACGGTGTCCCGTCTTGCTCCTGGAGGACCACTGTCCTGCAGAGTTTAGTTCCAACCCCAATAAAACACACCTAAACCAAGGTAATCAAGGTCTTCAGGATTATTAGAATGTTTTAGGTAGGTATGCTGGGACAAGATGGAGCAAAATTCTGCAGGATGTTGTCCCTCCAGGACCAGGATCGGACACCTATTAAGTCTGGCTATGCCAATGAAGTATTTTGAAATTTAATTGAAATGAAATTGACAGAGAGAGACTGCAAACTCAAAATGGAAGGCAACCAGCAGCAGTTTGTTTCACTTTTTATTTCATTTAGGGCAGATAAATCTGAAATCAATGATTACACAATATTAAATAATAATTAAAAAACTGCACTGTGAATGGTTTCTTAGAACAAAAAAGAGGAAATTAGCAGAAAATTTATTTTAAAATGTAAATTACATTTACATTAAAAACACTGCAGTTGACAATATCCCATTTAGTTGCTATCAAGTTCCTAAAGTACAACAATATTTTTGAAATCTTGTAAGCTTCAAACCAGCTAGTTCACATTTTTAGTTCTTTCTATTGTAGCAGGCTGGTACCTTATATAGTATGCATTACCGGTCAAAAGAAAAAAAAAGTTAATAGTTAAAAATATAGTTGGATTGTTTTTTTTTAAGAAATGAATGCTTTTATTCTGCAAGGATACATTAAATTGATCAAAAGTGACAGTAAAAAAATGTTTGTGGTTTTGAACTTTCTATTCATCAAAAAACCCTGAAAAAAAAATTACCATGGTTTCCACAAAAATATTAAGCACTGTGTTTTTTGAGCACCAAATCAGCTAATTTGAATGATTTCTGAATGATCATGTGACACTCAGGACTGGAGTACTGGCTGCTGAAAAATTCAGCTTTGCCATCAAAAGAATAAATTGTTTTTTAAAAATATATTGAATTTTAAATTGTAATAATATTTAACAATATAACTGTTTTTACTGTATTTTTGAAATGCCTAACTTCTTTCAAAAACACAAAAAAAAATCTTACCAAACCCAAAACTTTTGAATGGCAATGTATTTGTTTCAGCTGGACTCTCTGACTGCAGCAAAACCGAACAGGTGAGTTCAACCAGCTGATGAAATCTATTCAGCTAAATTCTTTTTCTAAAGCACATCTAAGCACACTGATGTGACAGTAGGTGACTGTACAGCACATTGGTCTACCTTAATAGCATAAAACAAACAAAAAAAATCACTATGTATTTAATGTAATATGCATAATATTAAACAGGTCTGAAGCATTTGTAGGAAGACAGTCTGTGGTTGAAACTATCCAGTAATAAACTCGGGAAGCTAGAAACATTCTGTGATGGAGGAAACACATGAATATGGGAAGGTTCTCTGCAACAGACACAAATGCACACACAGGTCTCAGAATGTACATAGTGGGACTGAATGAAAGACCATGACATGAGGTGTTTCACAGGGTTGGACTCGCCTGACAGTATCACCAAATACTTTCACTGCCATGAAGCAGGAGAAATGCCACACAGGGACAGGATGGAGGCTGATATGACTCATACTTTCACTGACCCGTGGGAATGTATGGAGAAGGACAGGGAATCTGACACAGGGCTTGAGTGACAAATGACAATGACCACCTGTCACAATGAGTTACCTTAATGAGGGCTGGAGTTTAAAAGAGGGCCGGAACGGCCAAGAGTCCCTGTAGCAGAGAGAGACAGACAGTGGAGGAAAGGGAGGAGAGCATCAGCGGTTTCATGTGAAATAAAGCGGCAGAAACCAGGTCATTATAGAGGCTCCTGTGAGTTATTGCTGGTCAGAATGCCACAGGATGTTACATTAATCGGGCACATTAGACTACATTTAAATCATGTTCTGCAGTATAAGTCAATTTATGGAAATGGTACTCATCAGATAATCTTATAAAACTGCAGTCAGAGATAGTAGACTTGCATATACTCTTAGCTTAGTGCTGTTAGAGACAGACAGCATTAGCATCAACAACTGAAGAGAGATGGATGAGCCCAGACGCTTATGAAAACTCATCAAATGCAAAGCATATTTGTCCAGAAGAGACAGCATTTAACCCTTGTATTTGACAAACACCAACAGGAAATATTATCAACTAACTCCAGTCTGGGCTTCATGAGCATATGAATAGGTTGCCCACAGTCAACCTGCGCTCTATGGCTAAAAAATGGAAGCAATTTTTAAGGTGCTGGAGGCCAGAAAAAAGTGCTGAAATGTAATAATGTGCAGCCACATTTTCATCACAGCCAACAAATGTGTAACGATACGGCGATTTCTTTTTCCAAGCTCTGAGGCAGGGTTGGTTCAGTGATGTCCTAACCAGGCCTGAAATGACAACTTTTACACAGAAAGCAAAAAGTGACAACCAATAAGAACATATTTCATGTTTAATAACAGAATGTGATATAAATTGTGACTGATTTTAATGTTATAGCCAATAAACAATACATTTAAGATATTTAAATTGTGTACTACTGAATGTTTTTATGGGGGGTTTTTTCAATGAAATGTATATGTATATACACACACTTACTGTACAGTGCATATTGATGTATATTTGTATTTATTTATATACAGTATATATATATATATATATATATATATATATATACTGTATATAAATAAATACAAATATATATATATATATACTGTATATAAATAAATACAAATATACATCAATATGCACATGTACAGTAAGTGTGTGTTTAGATGAAAAAGGTTATTAACGGTGCAGGAGGTAGTGTATTCAACCTGACACTGAATTATGGATGACATGCAAATGAGCACACCTGACAATTGGAGATTTAAAGGGACAGAAGGATTTTCAAAATTCTGATGATGACGTTCTACCAACTGGGGGCACTGCTGCTTTTTATCAATTCAAACAGAAAAACACTATAACTCAGAGGCAACAACTAACTGACAAATGGCTAATAAAAAAAAAATTATTGAGGTAAATGAAAATACAATTTACTGCCTCTTGGAAAAGGAGGTGATCTGCGGAGTCACCGTATTGATCGACCTTGTTCCCAATCAGATTTCACCTTTGTCAACAGAGAGAGGCCACACCAAACCAGCATGTCAATTTGTTTACAGATCAAATCAAATGACCTTTCAGTTTTGATTGCACGAATAATAACTGCATACGGCACATCTGGAAAAACAACATAACCCATCGCATTCAGCACTGCATTAAAATATTGGCAAGGCTGACTTTGGTCTATATGGGATGCATACAGCGTAGAGATGGGAAGATGCACCGATTGGCAAAAAAAGTTAACGATGCGATGCATCGGTTTAAAAAGTGTGCATCGGATACAAGTTGGCATTTGTATAGCGATGCATCGTTTCTAACATATTTGCAACGGTAAAAAACGATTTATTTATATATAATTACTAGTGGATGGCTACACTTTTATTGTTCGTGCATAACTGACATGTCACGAGTATATTTTTTTAAGTCATGCAAATATATCCATTTTGCTTGCTGTCAGGAGTGGGCGAGGCATACGCGAGTG